GGCTTTTTAGACACAAATTTGACCCATCATGTGAGTTATCCAGGTACAAGGCCCGTTGGGTGGTCTGCGGCTTCAACCAGCGCTTTGGCGTCGACTATGACGGGACCTTCAGCTCCGTTGTCAAACCTGCTACAGTCCGAGTCATTCTTAGCCTTGCTCTGTCTAGAGGATGGCCCATTCATCAGCTTGACGTCAAAAATGCCTTCCTCCATGGTCAGCTTCAGGAGACAGTATACGCCAGCCAGCCTTTCGGGCTTCAGGATCCCGCTCGACCTCATCATGTTTGCAGACTCAAGAAGGTTCTTTATGGGATCAAGCAGGCACCGCTGTCATGGTATCACAGATTTGTCGGTTTCATTCAGACTATTGGGTTTCATGGGTGCAAGTCTGATACATCACTGTTTGTTTTTTCTCATACCATGGGCATTGCCTACCTGCTGCTGTACGTTGATGATATAGTTCTCACAGCCTCTTCCACTGAACTTCCCCAACATCTCATCCAGCGGCTAAAAGCCGAATTCGCTATGACAGACATGGGTGACCTACACTTTTTCCTCGGCATCAACGTTCAGAGGACAACCAGTGGCCTATATCTCCACCAAACACAGTTTACACATGACATACTCGAGCGGGCCGGGATGGTATCTTGTCGCCCCATCTCCACCCCAGTGGATACAAAGGCAAAGCTCTCCTCCTCGTCAGGCACATTGCGCCCGGATCCTACTCTACACCGATCCACTTTTGGAGCATTACAGTACCTCACATTTACTCGTACTGACATCACATATACCGTCCAGCAGCTTTGTCTACACCTTCATGCACCCCGCAATGCTCATCTCACAGCCATGAAGCGTGTCCTGCGCTATTTCAGTGGCACCCCCACCCATGGCATCTACCTGACGCGTTTTTCTACCGACTCCTTGCAGGCATACTTCGACGCTGATTGGGCTGGTTGCCTAGACACCAGACACTCCACCTCCGGATACTGTGTCTTTCTTGGCGATAACCTAGTCTCCTGATCCTCCAAGCGTCAGGCTACCACTTCCCGCTCCAGTGCAGAGGCTGAGTATCGTGCTGTGGCCAACGCCGTTGCGGAGACGAGCTGGATCCAGAATCTACTACTTGAGCTACAGCAACCCCTTCGGCGTGCCACCAGGGCTGGCTAGAGAGGGGGGCAGGTTGGTCATTGGGACATGGCCCATTTTCTTAGGGGGCCCAAGTACTATATATATATATATATATATATATATATATATATATATATATATATATATATATATATATATATATATATATCATTAAATCCCAGTAGACTTAGAATATTCTTAAGATAGCTCCATTCCACTCTATCAAAGGCTTTGGCCATATCTAATTTGATAATGCAATTATCTCCCCTGACCTCCTTATCAATCATATAGATCATTTCCTGTGCCAGCAAGATTTGTTCTTGAACTCCCTTATTCTTTTGGAATCCAGTTTGTTCTTCAGAGATGAATTTAGGCAGTAGGATAGCAAGTCTAGTGGCCAGAATCTTGGTGTTAATTTTACTCATAAAAGTAGAGAGGGAAATAGGTCTATAATCCCCAAAACTTTTTGGGTCATCAACTTTAGGAATCAAAGTAATGAAAGTGCTACCAAAGGACTTAGGAACAGAAAATCCCAGGAAAAACTCTTGACATGCTAGAATTACATCCTTCTTGAGAATATGCCAACATGTTCTGAAAAAATAACCATTAAAACCATCAGGACCTGCTGCACTATCTGAGTTAAGGTCCCAGACAACTTTAAAGATCTCAGGTTCTATAGGTATGGAGCAAAGCATCTGATTGTCTAGTTCACTAATAACTTTGGGAATAAATTTGGAGATAATAGTAGCATCTGTGTGGTTAACAGTGGTGTAACACTGAAAAGTATCTGATTGCCTCCCTGCAAATATTCTCCTGAGAGGAGAGATGTTTTCCATCTGCATCTTGAATGGATCGAATAGAGAGTTTACTCCTTTTGTGTTTAACAAAAGAGTGGAAGAACTTAGAATTACAATCCCCTTCTGACATCCACTTAATGTTAGCCTTTTGCTTCCAGTAGTTAACTTCCCTGTTGAGGCTAACAATAAGATTTGCAGAGGCTAGATTAGCAGCTGTCCTCTTCTCTTCACTAGGATCATTTTCAAAATCTTCTTGAGCCTTACCAGCTTTGATTTCATTATCTTTTACCTCTTGAAATATATTGCCAAAGTGTAATTTGTTCCAACTTGAAAGAACAGATTTAAGAAACTTAAGTTTCATAGCTAGCCCTATCATGCCTCCAGTCCTTGGGCTATCACTCCAATATGCAGTAACAATAGATAAAAAGTTGTGGTGTGTGGCCCAGACATTAAGAAACCTGAATGGTCTAGGCCCTTGAAATCCCTCTTCCTTACAAAGTAGAAGGATTGGCTTGTGGTCAGATGTAGTCTTACTGAGGTGGGAGATACTGTTATCATTGAACAAATTATTAGCAGTAGAGTTGACAAACACCCTGTCCAGTCTCCTCCAAAGTTTGCCATTACTTCTAACACCAGTCCATGTAAAAATCCCTCCAGAAAAGGGAGGTGAAAGAAGCCCACAAGCATCAACACATGTTCTGAATTTATCCAAATCATTGAAATCTGGATTAGAGTTACTTTTATGCTCTTCCAGGCTAAGAAAAGCATTGAAATCGCCCCCCACAATCCAAGGATGATTATTGTTGCTAGCATTGTAGATTTCATCCCAAAGAATCCTTCTACTGACTGTGTTGTGTGCCCCATAAACAGCAGTGATAGAGATGTTAGAGTTGAGTTTGTTGTTCCAAAAGTCAAAATTTAAACTTTGGCTAGCTTCTCTAAATCCTTGCAGCTGTAGGGTACTGTCTTTCCAAAAAAATCCACATTTTCTTATTGAGTCCACCTCTGGAGCAAGAGAATCCCAGGTTGATTTTATACCATTCTCTTTTATTCTCACAAACAATTGGCTCAATAATACAAAGGAAGTCAATAAAATAAGAAGAAGTTAATGTTTTAAGCCTATTAAGGGATGAGGCTGCACCACGCACATTCCAAAATAGGCAATTCATAATAACTTCTTAAGATGTCCTTCTTTACTTCTTGTTTGACTCCTTGTCATTTGGTGGGATCACATCTATCCATTTTGGTCAATGGGACTCTAGCTGGTTTCTTCCAGATGAAGAGGGGAGTGAAGCAAGGTGACCCTCTCTCCCCTATACTTTTTCTGATCAGCAGTGAAGGTTTCTCAAGAATGATCAACTTCCATATGAGTAACAACCTTCTGCGAAGCTTCAACACTGGTAATCATCCTATGGTCAGTCATTTAGCTTTTGCAGATGACATTGTTGTTTTTGTGAATGGTGACTCTAGAAATCTTACTAAATTCAAGAGGATCCTAGAGGACTATCAGAAAGGCTCTGGACAACAGGTTAGCATCAACAAGAGCTGCTATTACACTGGGAAACCAGTCAATGACATCAAGCTAGCCACTATGACAGTCCCTGGGTATGGGTCATGGGACTCTCCCATTCAATTGTCTTGGAGCAACTATGATCAAAGGAAAGCTCAAGAAACAGCACTGCTCCAAACTGTTGGGTCATTTTGACAAATACTTGAATTCTTGGTTCAGCACAACATTAAATCCTATGGGGAGGCTAGTTCTTATCAAACACGTTTTATCCTCTATCCCCCTTCATATCACTGCAGTCCACTGTCTTCCCCAAGCTATCATTAAAAGCCTCCACATGAAAATGGCAAACTTCTTATGGGGATTCAAGAATGGTAAACCTAAATACCATTGGAGACAGTGGAATAGCATTTGTGTTCCAACTGAAGAAGGGGGGCTAGGTCTGTGAAGTCTGGAAGATATCCAAAATGCTTACTCTATTAAACTGTGGTGGAAAGTGCAAACAGACACTACAAAATGGGCCAAGTTTATGAGAGCCAAATACTTTAAACACAAGGAATTTAGAGAAAAACTTTATGACTCGCCTATTTGGAAAAGAATTTGCAGAATTCACATCATTGCCTCAAAAAATACCATTCATAATGGTGATCAGATTGCTTGGCTAGATGGAGAGTTCACTCTTAGAAAGGCTTATCACATTTGTAGAAAAGCCAAACCAACTCAAATCAACTACATCTACTGCTGGAATAAAGAGCAAATCCCCAAAATCAAATTCTTCCTTTGGAGATATATCAACTCACTACTGCCTTTTCCAGAAAAACTTAGGACAATGGGGGTTCAACTTGCCTCTGTTTTCCCTCTATGTATGACTAAAGAAGAATCTAAAGACCATGTCTTATTCCAGTGTCAACATCTATTAGAATGGAACCTATCACATCGAAGAAAAAATCTCAAAGGGAAATTGAGAGGTATTCTTCCAGGGATAATTGCCTGGCATATTTGGAAAGAATACAACAGAATACTTTATGATTCTGCCTCTCCAAACATTGCTAAGGTAAAAAAGGGAATTTTTGAAACTATCAGAGATTGGAGTTGGAAGAAGAGAAGGAAAAAGTGGATGATTATGGATGACAATCTCACAAACCTGGGCTTTAACCTCTTCTTTCTGTCTGGGAAGGAGATTCATGGCGGAAGGGCTTTCTCTCAGCGACCGGTTGATTTGTAGAGCTTGGTGGACGGTTCCTTCAGGTGGCGGGTAGGGAGGTATGGTTGACGCGAAGAAGAAGAAAGAGATCTGCTATCTGTGTTTTATTTTGACTTTCTTGCTTTTTTCATTCTCCTTTTCCCTTGTTTGTTTGTTTGTCTTACTTTCGGGGCTTCGGTCTAGTCCTCCCCGAACGTGTTAATATATATATATATATATATATATATATATATATATATATATATATATATATATATATATATATATATATATATATATATATATATATATATATAGACACACACACACATACACACACATGTTTATTTATATAAAAAATTTAAAACACAAATAAGTAAATATTAAAAGGTAGTGGGCCTAGTGGCCTATCTACATACGGAAGGAATTTCTACCCAAAGGCCGAAGTAGTAGCCAAAGTCCATCGGAGCCACACAATCCTTACCGTCAATCGCGATTGCCAATTACTCAAATAGCTCCACCTTGCAGTCAATCGTGGATGCCGGATAGCCTCTCACTCTCTTGACGGACCGACGGAGTTCCGACCTCGGCAAAACGAAGCCACCACAGCAACTTCTAGGGGGTAGGGATACACCTAAAATCAATAAAGATTAGAAGGTCATTCCCCCAATCTCACTTAAATCAGGTTTTTTTCTTTATTTCTTTTTTAGAAATTAGTAATTACTCCAAATAGGTAATTGGTAGTTGATTTTATCAATTTCATAATATTCATGAATCATGATTTTAGAGTATTGTTTTTAAAATTTTAGTCTACTCTAAGAATTTTAGAGCAATTAGAGTAAATAAATAATGTTAAATTTTTAAAGTAAATAGAGTAAATAAATAATTTTCAGTTCTAAAATTTCATAAACTAGATTATTTGAGTACAAGTTGATTTATGATTTTCAATATGAAATTAATTAAATTATAATTATAATTTATCGGGTTTCAGTTCACTAATTTTAAATTTTTTGTGTTGATTTGGTTATTTGAAGTTTTGGACTTTAAAGGTCAACTCTAATTCGGTCATTATGCCTCATAAACACCTTTCTGGTAGTCAAAAGCGTAAAAAAAGAAAAAGAGATGAAGAAATGAGAAAGTCTCAAATGGGTGCTATGGATAAGTTCTTGTATAGACCCGTTGTTGAAGAGAATGATGAAGAGGTAGAAGTAGAATTTGAAGACCTTGAACCACAAGAGCATGTTGAAGGGCAAGAGCATGTGGAAGTTGGGATTGTAGATCAAGAACATGTGGGAGAGGCTAAAGAATATATTGAGCATAAAGCTATTGATATATTTGATCCAAGGAGGTGGGAAGGACATAATTCTACGAACATTAAGACTTTGGTTGAGAAAGGTCCTAAAAGAGATACTAGCATTATGTATGCGCCATATACCAAAGATGGAATAAGTTATAGACGGTTTTCTGCTATTTTATATACGAAAACGTTATCTAATTTGGAAAGGGTTGATAGAGAATGGCTAGTATATTCGAAAGACTTGGACAAGATATTTTGTTTTTGTTGTAAAGTATTCAGAACAGGGGCTCCGAAAGGTAAATTGAACGGTGAAGGCTATTCAAATTGGCATCATTCTCCGAATAGAATTAGAGAACATGAACTTTCCTTGGATCATCTCACAAATATGAGAAAGTGGTTGGATATGCGCAAAAGATTACAAGTGAACGAGACAATCGACAATGTTCAATACGAGCAATTTAAAATAGAAACTGCATATTGGAAACAAATCCTTTTAAGAATCTTGGCATTGGTGAAGTTTTTGGCTAAACATAATTTAACATTTCGTGGCTCAAAAGAAAAGTTGTATAAAAAAGGTAAGGAAAGATTGTTATTAATTTTTTATATCTCACTTCCAACAAATACATTATTTATTAATTATATTTTTTTACAGGCAATGGAAATTTCTTATGCCTCATTGAAATGTTACAAGAATTTGACCCAGTCATTCAAGAGCATGTGCGTCGGATCACAACAGATGAGCTTCATGTGCATTATCTCGGACACAACATCCAAAATGAGTTAATACTTTTTCTTGCGGAAGAAATCAAGAAGGAAATCATCAAAAAGATAAAGAAACCAAAGTATTTCTCAATCATACTTGATTGTACCCCCGATTCAAGTCACCAAGAACAAATGAGTATCATAGTGAGGTATTTAAACTTTTCTGCTACTTCTATTACTATCGAGGAGTCCTTTTTAGGCTTTTTGAATGTTAATGACACCACCGGAAAAGGACTTTTTGGTATTACAATTGAGGACTTAAAATCTCTTGGTTTAGAAATTGATGATATTCGAGGTCAAGGTTATGATAATGGGGCAAACATGAAAAGAAAACATCAAGGTGTGCAAAAGAGATTTTTAGAGCTAAATCCTAGAGCATTTTACACCCCTTGCGGTTGTCATTCTCTTAATCTTACCTTGTGTGATATGGCTAATAGTTGTGTTAAAGGAAAGACCTTTTTTGGAATCATCCAATGATTTTATACTCTATTTGCAAATTCAATTAATCGGTGGCAAATCTTGAAACAAAATGTAAAAAGTTGGAGTCTTAAGCCATTGTCTCAAACTCGTAGGGAAAGTCGTGTGGAGAGTGTTAAAGCAATTAGAATGCAATTGCCTGATATACGAGATGCTTTATTAGAAGTTGTAGAAAAAGATAACGATGGTGAAATTGTAAGTCAAGCACAGTCACTAGCAGAAAAAGAACTTGGTGAGTTTGAGTTTTTGGTATCAATTTTCATTTGGTATCAAGTGTTAAATCAAGTGAATTTAGTGAGCAAGAAGTTACAATCAAAAGAAAGGGAACTTGATATTGATATTAAAGAAATACATAAATTGATTGAGTATTTTAAAGATTATCGGAAAATGGTTATGCAAAGGCGATTGATGAAGCTAAGGAGATTGCTACTGAAATGGATGTTGATCCAATATTTCCCCAAAAACGTTTGACTCAAAGAAAAAAAGAGTGGATGAGAGTTCAAGTAGCAATGAAGTTTCATTTGATTCTAAAGAGAATTGTAGAATCAATTATTTCCTTTTCATTGTTGACAAAGGTATTGCTTCTCTAGAGACAAGATTTGAACAATTCAATGAGAAGTTATTTGGTTTTCTATTTCTGCATAAGTTGTGGGGGATTGAAGACAAAGATCTTAAGTTGTCTTGTTATACTCTAGCAAATGCACTCAAGTGTGGTGAAAGATCGGATATTGATGTTGAAGAACTTTATGTAGAGTTGAAGTTATTTTGCACATTAGAAACCAGTGAATTTAGCAATCCTATTGATGTTTTGAAACATTTGAAAGTTGATCATTTTCCAAATGCAAGCATTGCATATAGAATATTGTTGACTATTCTAATAACGGTGGCATCTGCAGAAAGGAGTTTTTCCAAATTGAAACTGTTGAAATCTTTCTTAAGATCAACAATGTCCCAACTCCCAAGAAAGGCTTAGCGGATTGGCGATAATAGCAATTGAGAATGAAATCCTTGAGAGTATAGATTATGGAGAGTTGATCAACCAATTTGCTCTCAAGAGTGCTAGGAGAACTTCAAGAATCCTCGGCTAGCCATTAAGGTATGCAATTATAAATTGATTACACCATGAATTTGATATTTTATTATTCTTATTAGTATAATGTTAACAACAACAACACCCCATTAGTATAATGTTAATTATTTTTAAATAAACTAATTGATAGATTTTATTATATTATGACACAATGCCAATTTTCTGTGTGTCGTACAAGGCCCTTAATTTCTCGAAGACGATCTTGCGTGCCACTCTTGCTTTTTGCGACAACGTCAGTGCTGTGTACCTCGCTCTCGACAAATCTTGTACAGCACCAACGCACTAAACACTTGGAAGTTGACATCCACTTTGTTCGTGACAAAGTGGCACTGGGCCATGTGCGAGTTCTCCACGTTCCCTCGTCCTCGCAGTATGCTGACATCTTCATTAAGGGACTGTCATCTCTACTATTTCTAGGCTTCAGACAAAGCTTGGGAATCATACCTCCTCCACATCCGACGTAGCGTGGAGCATGTTAAATATATTGCCTATATTTAATATATTGTATTATTCCCTTACCTTAATTGTATAGGTTTCCTTATATATGTCTCTCCTACTTTGTTTAGGATTGAGACTCCTCATATAAATACATGTAATCACATCTCTATTCAATCAATGAAAATCATTATTCTTCACATTTTAATAAGCGTGTCACGAGTCACAACTTTCAAATCTTTATATATAAAAAAGGAGAGTTGGAGTTCCAGAATTAGGACATGTGACATGCTGACTAGAGTTTTTTTTAACACATCAATAGACATGTCATCAAGAGCATTCACTCAAGATTATTCCTTCTACTAATTTATGATATAATAACATAAATTATGTTACATAATAAAATTAGTGAAACATAGATATAATATTGCATAAAATAAAATTGTCAATGAAAACACAAAAATAAACAAAAGTTATCGAGAGGTGAGATAAAAATTTCAACAACCTTGGGGAAAGAACGAGTATTATTTTGGTTGTGCATCAATGTTAAAATCTTGTTTTATATATATATATATATATATATATATATATATATATATATATATATATATATATATAAAGATTTATGAAAATAAACGCAATAGACTCAATGAAAATGAATACAGAGATTACTAAATTTGTAATATCAATTTTGATATGTATTACTAAATGAGTAATATTAATTTTGATATGTCATAGATATAGTCTTGGTATAATTTTGAGATTCAAGTTTCTAAAAACGTGGCGTGAGATTAATTTATGAGAGGTAAATTGTCATGTTGCAACTTGCAAGCTTAGGGTGCACGTTTTTGTGAATATCTTAGATGTCAAAATTTATTTATAATTCTCTTAAATAAGATCATTCGTGAAGAATATTATTTCAAGGCAAATTCTTTTTTGATTTTAAGGTTTATGTCTATTTTACGGACCTTAGTGCATTGACATTATAAAAGAATTGGGGATTTTGCAAAAAAGATCTAGTCGTCAGCTCATGATCGAAAAGTGTGAGAATGTTTAACTTCACATGTAGACCTTAGATCATGAAATAACAACTCTATTTTCAAATATATATGTGTGGACCTTAGAACACGGAAAAACAACTATATTTTCAAACATATAAAAACATTGAGCTACTATTTTAGTACTTTCTATATATTTTACTCCTTTTTAACTTGATTTTTTTCTCTCTAAAAAATATGGATATAATCATTTAGGAGGTAGATTTAACAACACCAATCTTTTTTTTTTGCCTTGATGATTAACGACAGAAAAATGATGAACCCGTTCTAGGGTGAAAAATTACATCTCGGTATCCTGTATTTTTTGGCAATAACTCTCAGGTTCTACATTTAGAGCTGGCAAAACAGAACCGGAACCGATTACCCGAACCGAAATATCCGAAACCGAAACCGAAATGACCCGAAAAATGAAGATCCGATCTATAACCGAAAACCCGAAATGATCCGAATCGAACCGAAACCTAACTAAATAATTCATATCCGATTTAAATCCGAAACCGATTAGATCCGAAACCGATAATATCCGAACCGATTTAACCCGAAACCGATTAGATCCGAAACCGATAATACCCGAAACCGATAAAACCCGAAACCGATTATATCCGAAACCGATTAGAACCTACATAGATAATTTTGGAAGTATGTTTTCCTTTCAATAAGCATATTATGCTTTTAAAATTTTACTTTTATTTTACTATTTGAACTAATTAATTGTAAGTTCTTTAAATTCATTTTATATGTGAAATTTTACTTCTTATTTTTTTATTTCCTCCGTCCGGAATACAATTTTTTTTAAAAAATATCATATTTAAAACTTTCTCTGTCCCTAAATAAATTTCTTTTTTCGTTTTTTCTTTTTCCCCAAATAAACTTCTCTTTTATTTTAAAAAACCCCTTATACCCCTTACTTTTTTATACCATACCTATCACATCATATCTTTTTATTAATAATCTACCTATCACATCTTACAATTACACATCATATCAAGGGTATTTTTTGAAAGTCAACACAAAAAATATTCCTCCCTTAAATTTTCAAAAAGTCAAAAATGAAAGTTTATTTAGGGACGGAGGGAGTAATAGTCTGGCTGCAATAAGTTATCATATCCAAATTTCTAAAAAAAACTTATAATGCATGTAATTTTATAATTAAAAAATTATAATAAATACAAATAAATTTTAATTATCAAAGATGGTAAAATAAAATAAAAAAGTAAAACTTTTCCTTAAAAACTAAAAATATATTTTCTATCAAAATTATAAATATAATTAGTCAAATAAAGTGTAGAATAATAATATTTATGTATTCCATCAATAATAGACATTGTAATTGGATTACTTAAAGAGTTATTCTCTTATTTATTTAATGTGAGTTTTATTTTTTAATATAATACGGAGTACCATTTTTAAATAGCTATACTTATAAAAAAAGTATGCGAGTCAGTGCAAAGCACGAGATAAAAACTAGTTGCTTCGACTCATCTTCCCCAAAAAGTGGTAACACAATCCTAATACGATTTGAATTTATCTTTTTATTTATAAAGATAAAACTAATGATATTAATAAATTTGTACTAAATAATACTAAAACATAATTACTTTCTTAATCTAGGACTTAAACTTTTTTATTCCTTAGAGAGANAATAGCTATACTTATAAAAAAAGTATGCGAGTCAGTGCAAAGCACGAGATAAAAACTAGTTGCTTCGACTCATCTTCCCCAAAAAGTGGTAACACAATCCTAATACGATTTGAATTTATCTTTTTATTTATAAAGATAAAACTAATGATATTAATAAATTTGTACTAAATAATACTAAAACATAATTACTTTTTAATCTAGGACTTAGACTTTTTTATTCCTTAGAGAGAACTTAATAATGTCTTAGTGGGAGAAATAATAACCAGTAATAAATTAATAATGGACATTTACTTGAATAATGACTAATTAATAATGACCAAAAGTCCTACATTGGGAAATAAAAACATATGGTCCTATATTGGGAAAGTCTTTGTGTTTTAGCCCTATTTAGGTAAATTACTCATAATATTATTTGAAGTGATAAAATTTTAATATATCAAAACTAAATTTTTAAATTAATATTATGATATTAAATTTATATCATCATAAAATATATTTTTTCATAATTTGTAGTCCACTCGATCGAATATATCCAAAACTGAAATATATCCGAACCGGACTAGACCCGAAACCGAAATATATTCGACTCAAATTGTATCCGAATCAAAATCTATCCGAACCGATTCATAACCGAACCGTATCTGAACCGACTCGAAACCGAACCGAACCGAAAACTGTATAGAACCGAAATCAAATCCGAACCGAAATTTAACCGATCCGAACCGAACCGAACCGATTATAACATATAACCGAAAGATATCCGAACCGAAAAAGTTCAATCCGGAACCGATCCGGTTGATCCGATTGCCACCTCTATCTACATTATCTGAAATATACTCCGAAGAACCTTCATTTTTTGGTAAGAATTCTCAGGTGCTACATTATCCGAAATATATTTTAAGGTCCTTAAAATTTGTGAGATTATATTCGGAGGGTACATTATCTCAATTTAGATACTAGATTAAAAGTTCTTTTACTTTGAAAAATTGAAGAATTTTATTAAAATTAAATAAAATAGTGATTATCAATGTAAAATTTGGTAATTGTTAAAACAACAGAACTTTCAATCATAATGGCCAAATAGACGGGATATACCCTCGGAGTATATTATCACAAATTTTAGAAATCCTGGGAAATATTTTAGATAATATAGGACCTAAGAAGTCTTACCAGAAAAATCAAGATTATCCCGAAATGTACCTAAAAATCAAAGATACATCGAAATAATTTTGTGGTTCCAGGGTCTCCTTAACCCGTTCTTAGAACGACCACTTCTTATCATGAGACCGCCCAATATATCGGCCATCACTTTCTTTCACATCCCCTTTTGACGTGAACATCTATCGCCTCCAGCCTTATTGATTTATGAATACGAGGGAGGACAGTTATGTTGTTGTTCATAAGTCCCGCGGACAAAGGCCGGACACCTTGAGCCATCATCAGAAAACTGTAGTTGATTACAAATGAAAACCAACTAGAAGTAGACCCCCCCCCCCATAGGGCGTGTTCGTTTCGGAGACTAGTTTTCGCGTGGGCCCTTATTTGCATTAAACTTCTCTCTTTTTAATTAAACAACGGAAATCACCCTAAATAGGACTAAAACATAGAGTTTATGTCCAAAATATGACTTCTATGTTTTTATCTTCAAAATAGGACCAAACAATATAATTATACCCTTGTTGCCCCCGCCCTCTCTTATGTGTTAACTCTACTGCCCTCCATCTCCTTTCTCTTGTTTTTCCATGATCGAGAGTTTTTTTTTGTTTTTGGTTTTGTTTTGTGTGTTTTCTTTGTTTTGTTTTCTTCTATGTTTTTTTCTTTCGTCCCTTTTTTTGTTTTTTTTTTGTTTTCTTTCTCTCTCCTTCCTCTTGCCCTTTTTTCTTCTCTTTTTCATTGTACATGGAGTTTTTAACTTGCTCTATATTTCATTTTTCCTTGTGCAACCCATTTATCCTTTTGTGTTTAATCACTTAATGCTTAAAGAAATTAAATATAGAGAAAGTGTCAAAATAGGAGTTCATTGTTTTTATTCCCTAAATATGAGTTCGCATTGTGGTAATATGACACTCTACATTAGAGCTGGCAAAACAGAACCAGAACCGATTACCCGAACCGAAATATCCGAAACCGAAACCGAAATGACCCGAAAAATGAAGATCCGATTTATAACCGAAAACCCGAAATGATCCGAATCGAACCGAAATCGAACTAAATAATTCATATCCGATTTAAATCCGAAACCGATTAGATCCGAAACCGATAATATCCGAACCGATTAAACCCGAAACCGATTAGATCCGAAACCGATAATACCCGAAACCAATAAAACCCGAAACCGATTAGATCCGAAACCGATTAGAACCTACATAGATAATTTTGGAAGTATGTTTTCCTTTCAATAAGCATATTATGCTTTTAAAATTTTACTTTTATTTTACCATTTGAACTAATTATATTACTTGATCATTCCCTCATAAAATGGATTACATGTTTTAGAAATATTACAAAAAATAGAGCAAATGAGCAATAAAATAGAGATGACATAAAACACATGAAAATTACTTTTTCCAAATCTAAGCATACATGCGATAAAATAAAGCAAACCAGTAATAAAATAGAGATGAGAATCTTGCTAAACACCAAAAAGTAGTCATCTAGTGATTATTAAAAAATATAGTATTCAATAGTCATGATCCAAATTTCTAAAAAAAAACTTATAATGCATGTAATTTTATAATTAAAAAATTATAATAAATACAAATAAATTTTAATTATCAAAGATGGTAAAATAAAACAAAAAAGTAAAACTTTTCCTTAAAAACTAAAAATTTATTTTCTATCAAAATTATAAATATAATTAGTCAAATAAAGTGTGGAATAATAAGATTCATAGAAGAAATTAATAAATATATCATACCCTCGCATACCACGATATCTACAAAAAATGAAATGTCTAACAAAGTTATTTAAGAAGAGTTAATGTATTATCTTTCATATGCACATACATGTATAATATTTAAGTATTCCATCAATAATAGACATTGTAATAGGATTACTTAAAGAGTTATTCTCTTATTTATTTAATGTGAGTTTTATTTTTTAATATAATACGGAGTACCATTTTTAAATAGCTATACTTATAAAAAAAGTATGCGAGTCAGTGCAAAGCACGAGATAAAAACTAGTTGATTCGACTCATCTTCCCCAAAAAGTGGTAACACAATCCTAATACGATTTGAATTTATCTTTTATCTTTTTATTTATAAACATAAAACTAATGATATTAATAAATTTGTACTAAATAATACTAAAACACAATTACTTTCTTAATCTAGGACTTAAACTTTTTTATTCCTTAGAGAGAACTTAATAATGTCTTAGTGGGAGAAATAATGCCCAGTAATAAATTAATAATGGACATTTACTTGAATAATGACTAATTAATAATGACCAAAAGTCCTACATTGGGAAATAAAAACATATGGTCCTATATTGGGAAAGTCTTTGTGTTTTAGCCCTATTTAGGTAAATTACTCATAATATTATTTGAAGTGATAAAATTTTAATATATCAAAACTAAATTTTAAAATTAATATTATGATATTAAATTTATATCATCATAAAATATATTTTTTCATAATTTGTAGTCCACTCGATCGAATATATCCGAAACCGAAATATATCCGAACCGGACTAGACCCGAAACCGAAATATATCCGACTCAAATTGTATCCGAATCAAAATCTNAAACATATGGTCCTATATTGGGAAAGTCATTGTGTTTTAGCCCTATTTAGGTAAATTACTCATAATATTATTTGAAGTGATAAAATTTTAATATATCAAAACTAAATTTTAAAATTAATATTATGATATTAAATTTATATCATCATAAAATATATTTTTTCATAATTTGTAGTCCACTCGATCGAATATATCCGAAACCGAAATATATCCGAACCGGACTAGACCCGAAACCGAAATATATCTGACTCAAATTGTATCTGAATCAAAATCTATCCGAACCGATTCATAACCGAACCGTATCTGAACCGACTCGAAACCGAACCGAACCGAAAAATGTATAGAACTGAAATCAAATCCGAACCGAAATTTAACCGATCCGAACCGAACCAAACCGATTATAACATATAACCGAAAGATATCCGAACCGAAAAAGTTCAATCCAGAACCGATCCGATTGATCCGATTGCCACCTCTACTCTACATAGGCATTTATTGTAATGTACATGGTCATGCTTGGTAATGTAAACGTATTTTAATTCAGATTTCGGGAATAAAAACATGAAAATTCTATTTTGTTATATTTTCATTTTTTTACTCTTTCTTTAGAGAAAGTACTAACGTAGGAGCTCCATGTTTTTATTTGCAAAATAAGAGTTTGTACTGTAGTAATGTGACATGTGGACATGTGGTTCAAGTACTTGTGGTCTTGTGGACATGTAGCGCGACCAGTGAGGAAAAAAATGGTTCTGTGTCACAAATGGCGAGGGGTATTTTGGGTATGGCAACGCAAATTAAGTCCTATTTGGGGGATTTAAGTTTTGGAGTCCTATTTAAGTATATTTGATACTCCCTCCGTCCCTAAATAAAGTTCCATTTTTTACTTTTTGAAGATTTAAGGGAGGGATATTTTGGTGTTGACTTTCCAAAAATACCCTTGATGTGATGTGTTAAAGTAAGATGTGATAGGTAGATTATTAGTAAAAAGGTGTGATGTGATAGGTAGGGTATGAAAAAGTAAGGGGTAAAAGGGGTTTTTTAAGGGAAAAGAGAAGTTTATTTAGGGACAAAGAAAAAACGAAAGTAGAACTTTATTTAGAGACGGAGGGAGTATGTTTTAGTCCTATTTAGGATTTTTTCCCATTAAACAACCATGCTACACTTACACAAAAAAATGTATCCTAAAATTACACTAAAAGTGTCACTAAAATCTTGATGATTCATATTAATGCAAAATGCTGGTTCATTAAAAAAATTACACTAACATTTTTTTCTGTATGAACTATCATTCTAGCATTATACTGACACAAAATAAATGTGTACAAATTGGGATACAAATCTTGGGGTACAAATAGTTTAATCCTTAGTCAAACTCTAGCTATATGGGGTTTAAAGTTTTAATTCAACAAGCCAGCCCGCATGGGTAGCTCAATTGGTCGAAAGAGAGCATGTCAAAGTCGTTGATCCTAACATCGAATTCTGGCAGCGGCTGAGTCAGAATTCTATTATTTATAATAGCTTTTTATGCGCTATGGACACGAGGAGCAGCCTCTCTAAGGACCAGATTGAGATTATACTATGAATAAAGTTATTTGTACCCCAAACTTTTGTACACCATTTTGCACACCGCAGGTTTGCACCGATATTTTGTGTTAGTGTAAAACTAATTTTTGTTAACGCACCAACACTTTGTGTCCATGTAAATTTTTGTTAACGCACCAACACTTGTGTCGGTGTAAATCATCAAAATATTTGTATATAACTGCAGTATACAAATAGGGTACAATTTTTGGTGTAAGTGTAGCATGCATGGCCCTTTTCCCCATTCATAGTCGTGCCAAGTTGGGGTTTGGGAGCGCCGGGTGGGTGTTCAATTCCACCTTATTTTTTTGAGTAAATTCCATAAAAGGTCCCCAGTTATAGGTCGTTTTACATATTTAGTCCCTACATATCAAATATTACTAATTTGGTCCCCCATTATTATATTTATTTCTACGAATGGTCCTTTGTTAACATTTTCATTAAAACGTGGATAAAATTATAAATTCACACTCCTTTTTCTCCTCAATTAAGCTTTCTCCTCCCTTGTACTCCTTTCTCAAACCCGTCGCTGAGTTTCTAGCTTTGAACCCTAAACCAAAATCATCACTCTTCTCTCAATTGTTTGTCTAACTGGAGGAACGATCATTTAAATTTTGGGTTTAAGAGCTTCAAACTCAGCGACGAGTTTGGGAAAAAGTATGAGAAGATGAAGAAAGCTTAATTGAGGAGAGAGAGAAGTATGAATATACAATTTTATCCACGTTCTTAACGGAAATGTTAACAAAGGACCATTCGTGGAAATAAATATAATAATTGGGGACTAAACTAGTAATATTTGATATGTAAGGACTAAATATGTAAAACGACCTATAACTGGGGACCTTTTATATAATTTACTCTATTTTTTTTAATTCAACTAGCCATTGTGGGAGGGGGTGCGGGGGGGGGGTGTACCACAACCTATGGCAGAGATTTACCCTGGGGTAGATGGAAGAGAGGTTTTCACCAGAACCATAAAGTGATTAGGATTAAGCTATGTGTACCCCAACATTTATACCTCAAGTTGTACCCCGCAGGTTTGCATCAACATTTTGTGTTGGTGTAAAACTAATTTTTGTTAACGCACTAACATTTGTATCTGTGTAAATTTTTGTTAACGCACCAATATTTGTGTCGGTGTAAACCATCAAAATATTTGTGCATAATTGTGGGGTATAAATGGGGTACATTTTTTTTGGGTGTAAATGTAGCATGGTCCAAGTGATTACTTATTTTCTAAGAAAATGAGCCTGCAGCGCTGCTGCCTCAGTTTCTGCTATTCTTGGATGTGACACTCTACCTCAGTTTGCCTTTATTTAACACTTTCTCTTCAATGGGTAATCATATGAAGTGAAAACACGTCATCATTATATTCCTGCATTCCACTTCCGAGGATCATGTGTCCTCTCTTTGGTTCATAGCATCTACTTCAAAGAGAGTAAAATGGGAGGAAACTTAAGAGTCAATTATTGGTTGAAAATTAAATTAGGCATTTCTTGTGATCATTGTATGGTTAGTTTTAAGTGATCCACATGACATTAAGGTAAATATTAGTGGATTCTAGCAATAAGGACTAATTTAACACTCTCATCGCTTCTAACGATTTAATCTCTAGAGTTTGATTGATTGCACGTAGTTTAAAAAAATGTTAAAAATAAAAAGTGAATTTAATTTGTTGAAATTTGTTTAGAAGAATGATATTTTTTTAAAGATTCGTAGCACTCCTTCCTCCAATAGTACCACAATCCCAAGCCTCCAAAAATTAATGTAGTACCCAGTCATCGTAATCTTAGGGGGATGTATTCAAATTGGATTATGAATGATTTTAATAAATTGTAAAATATCCATGGATTATGTGAAATTTTATGATTGTTTTAAGTCTGCGCGCAGAGTTATATAAATTTCAATGTATTTTATCACCATGATTTTATAAGATTTTGAGAAATTGTTATAATCCATAATTTATTTGAAATCCGTCCTCCATTCTCTCATCTGCCATGGCTGTCTAGGTTTCATCCAGCGCGTGTGCCGCCGCCCATTGCTGACAATCAGATCTGTCAATTAGCGTTCTTCGTCAATTTTCAATCGCTTAGTTGCGATTCTTTGTTCGTAGCACAGCGTGTTCGTTGCTCTTTGACGGTCCACGTTTAGGAGTTCCTACGATGGAGAACTTCTTCTACTGAGTATGACGATGGTTTCTCATATTTTTTCAATTAGAAAATTAGTCAGAATGATTTTTTGCGGCTGAAGTTGAGCATGAATGAGCTTTGATTGAGTTTGACTTTTAATAGGCCAATAATGTAAGAATTCCTTAGGGAGAGCTTGAGCATAAAAATGGAGAAGAAACGGCCACAGTGAATGAGGTCGTTCAAAAAGTCTACTTTAAAATCCATGGGTGTAGCAAGAGATTTTGTTTGAGGATTTTTCATTAGAAAAAAGACTATGAAATCCATCAAAATCTATACTTCCTTCCGTCCCAGAAAGAATGCCACGTTTACTATTCTGGCCTCTCGATAACTTTTGTTTGTTTACTCGTTTTGGTTGACCATTTGATAAAATAAAATATTCTTGTCGCATCTTGTTTTGTAGAGCTTTTCATATACTTTTAAATGATGTAATTTTTATTTTTTATTACTCTACCAATTTGAAATTAAAGTGATTTTAAAAGAGATGATATTTTGCACGTCGTTCGAAGTGTTGCAAATAAATTGGGACGGAGGGAGTATATAATTAAAATCTTTTCAAATCTATGAATTGTTTAATAGCATTAGATTTTAATAGACTTCTTAAAGTCTGAATTGAATACATTTTGATTTTAAATGATTTTTTAAAATCTCAATTGAATACCTATTGACTTTTAAAATCCAAAAAAATCCTACAAAATCTAGATTGAATACAGCCCCTTTAGTTGACATTAATTTTGGCAAAGAGTAATTTTATTTAGAGAAGTTTGTAGTTGTTTTAGAGAACACGTTGTAGCATCATGCCTAGGTGGGCATACGGGTCAAGGAACCGGGATTCGGAACCGAACCGACATGTTCGGTCCCGGTTAGGGGCGGGTCCTCTTTTCAAATATTTATAACAGGCCGGGTCGGTCCAGTTCTTATATGTTTTAGGTTCGGTCTGGTTTTCCATTTTGAAATTGTCCAGGACCCGGGCCAGACCGCTTTTTAATACTCCGTAATATTATTAGTAATTACACCGAGAACAACGCCGTTACGAGTTACGCCCTTACCCCTCTTTGTCCTTATTTTGTCTTCATTTAGGCCTCTTTTTTGTGTTGGATGATTTAAAATTGACAATGGGGGTAGTACATTGTTGTGGACTAATGGTGAATGACCATGTATGTATTATTAATTTCTTATATCATTTTTTTTAAATATTAGTATCATGAGAGGTTTGGACCCGTTGGCCCGTGGAATTGACCCGTTTCAAACAAGTCGGGATAGGTCCAGTTTCAATTTTAAAATTTGAAAACCCGTTCTGGCCCGGATCATTTTAATAAAAACAAGCTCAGCCTGGTTTGTACAAATCTTGGCTCGGACCGGCCCGTGCCCACCCCTAATCATGCTTGTAACCTTACAAAGACCTGAAGCATTCACATTCCACCTTTCAAAAGACATTATTATTATATTCAAGTAAGATTCTTGGAAATATAGAAGTCTAATTTTCATATCAGAAGTTGTTGTGATCGAGCTAAAAGCATACGATTAATTAAGAGATAATTATTCATTGCATAAGAAGTTCTAGTTTAAGTAGAAGAAGGGAATAATAATAAGTTTAGGTTTGGAATCCTATTCCTAAGAAGAGTGCTAGAACTCTTACCTAGTCCTACGATGTTTGCAAGAAGTCCTTCATTTAACATCATCACCCCACCTCGGGCGTAAGTTACTACTAATACTAATGGGATTGTAGACTTGCCCCATAAACAAACACAAGTCTTTATTGCATACTTTGGCATCACTCATTGCGCCTTCAGAACTTCCCACTAGTCACCCATACCAATTTTTTTTTAAATCAAGCACGCTTAACTTTGGAGTTTCTAAGTTATGGACTTTCTAAAGCTAAGGTAGAGACATCTTGTTGGTATGAGTAGTACTATCAATCATTTTAAACTCTTTTCAACCCATCTTATGTCATCATATGGTTTTTACATTCACCCTCACTTAGGAATGTAACATCATGTTTTAGCGACATATATGTTTTGTCGGTACTCCTCTCTTTTTTAGCGACATCATTGGTCTGTCGCTATTACACTATTTTAGCGACAGTATATTTTATCTGTCGGTAATACTTTTACTGACGGAGTTTTTAGCGACAGCGTAGCGACAGACAAATATCTGTCGGTAAAAGCGAATAGCGACAGATATTCAAGCTTTAGCGACACATTGACCCCCTGTCGGTATTGCCTCCTTTTTTTGTAGTGACAGAGCTCGCTATCCTGCCACAGTCACAGGGTTTCTATAAACTACTTATAACACCTACCCTAGCCCCATACCAAGCAGAATTGATTACGCATAAGATTATAGACAGGCTCTAGAAACCAACACATGCAGGTATGTCCTGCACTTTGGCACACTAATTTGCGCCCTAAAAACTTTCAAGGGGTCACCATTTCTAATGTAATATCTTATGTTAATATGAAATGGAAAAAGTTCAAAAGGATTGATAGTACTGCTCATATCAAGAAGATGCATCTTCTTTTCCATATTCATCACTTAGAAACTCCAATGTTAATCATTCTTCACTTAACACATTTCTAGGATGGGGCCCTCTAGGAGTGCACAAATGAGGTCAAGTGCACTAATCGAAAAAGACTTGTGTTAGTTTGCGGGGGTAGTCTACAATTTTATTCTGAGCAGTAACTTTTGGTCCAGTGTGGGGTCAGGGTGTTATAAATAGTATCGGAGAAACCATGCATGTGTGACGGTCAAAAAGCTTAGTTCACCTTGTGGGGAAGATCAAGGGGCTTGAAAAGGGTCCAACAAAGATGTTGTATTCCTAAGTGGGGCTTGAGAAGGGTGCAACAAAGACGTCGTCCCCTAAGTGGGTGAGTGTAATATCCCATGTTAACATGGAATGGGAAGAACACAAAGGGAGATTGTAGTACTCAATTTCCAAATATTTTTAAAATATAGTGAAATTTGCACTAAATAGGACTAAAACATAAACCATTTCCCAATGTAGGACTTAAACTTTTTTATTTCCTAAATAGGACTTAATAATGACTAGTGAGAAGAATAATGTCCAAGTGATACTGGACATTTAGTTGAATAATGACTAATAGATAATGACCAATGGTCCTACATTGGGAAATAAAAACATATGGTCCTATATTGAGAAAGTCATTATGTTTTAGTCCTATTTAGGTAAATTACTCTAAAATATATTATAACATAATTTGGAAATTGAAGATGAAATTCGATGAAAGACACAATCTATGACATGACAATTACATTGTGTCAGAGATAGTTAAAAATGCAAGATTAAGATGCGGAGTATAAAATAAATATGTTATCTCAACAAATTAAAAGTGCTAGCTACGTTTAAGGACTATTTCAAAAATCATAGTTTTTTAAGAATGACTTAACAAATCTTATTTTACAAAGACAAGAATTATAAGGCATCTATTTTACAGGGACTAAACACATATTTAACCCTTTTAAATATTTATTTTGGATAACATTTGTGATGGCGAAGGCAATCACAAAATATCGTTGGCGTGCGCTTAGGTGTCTACGTGTCAAAACCATAATCGAACCTTGTGGTAGGTGTTACATTGTCATGTCCGGAATCGTCCATATACTAACATAGAATATGGGAGGGAGGCTAGATCAGTCACAAACTTTTTTGCGATGCCCAAAATGACATGGTCGTGCTCTATAACGGAACTGAATTTTTAAACTAGGTGTTATCACTATTTCTGTCCCAAATGCGTTTTTTTGTACTAAATATGACACTAAGGTGTGGTGTCAAAATAACCGTGAGCGGATGTTTAAATGCAATAAGCCAATAACATAAGATGAAAAGAGACCGTACGTTATTCTAAATTTAGGTGAAAGACATTTTATTGTTCACCATTAATGCAAGTAGTAACGCATATATAATATAATACTCCCTCCGTCCCCCATAGATCTTCCCAATAGCCCTTTTTCTTTGTCCACAATAGATCTTCTCATTTTATTTTTTAACAATTAAAATACCACAACTATCCCCACTTACTTTATTTATTACACCTCACCCACCTCATTTAATACACTCCACCCATTTTTCATTAAGGGTATTATGGTAAACTTTCACCTTTTTTCAACTCTCCTTAAAAACCACCAAAAGTCAAAATGAGAACATCTTAGGGGGACGGAGGGAGTATTAAACAATGAGTTAATTAATTACATGCCAACAAAATTTGTGTACCAAATGTAGGGTTGAATTGTAGAAGAAACCCCTATATACATGTTAGGCCACATACTCCTTAAAAGAAAATCCAAACTTCATGGCTTATCATACAAACATAAAATACAGACAATAACTATAAATAGCCTTGTGTGAGAAAGGCTAATCCTTCACGAGAACACAATTATAAAAACACAGAATAAATATTACAAGAGAATATTTATTAGAAAGTTATTGCATTAAAAAATGGCATCCACCCAGAAGTTGGTAGCTATATTGGTATTGTGTGTCCTCGTCCTCTCCGCCGTGCATCTTGACAAGGCGGAAGGTGCATCTGAGGTCTACAAGCAGTGCTTTGACAAGTGCCAAAATGATTGCATGAAGGAAGGCCGAGGCTACACCGATTGCGAGATGAAATGTGACACCGAGTGTTCCGCTATCGAGCGTAAAGGTATGTTTTGTATATATATATATTTGTATATGTATACTACCTCATCAAAAAAAGATAAAATAAATGTACTTGATTATCTATATATAGGTTTTAAAATGATTATTATTTATGTGAATGTTTTAATATTGCAGCTAATCTTCAATCATTGGAGGGTTGAAGGGTCATCTTATATCTGGACGGAGCAAGAAAACCTCATGAATGATCTATAATAAAACAATGTAGGGTATGATTAATAATAAAGGCATAGAAAAAGAATATGTATTCTATTTTATGGCCCATTGTATAGATCTTGCTTCAAAATGGAATAAAAAAATTTCCTTAATTTATTCCTTAATTATTACGAACTTATTTCAAATTTCCAAGAGAAATGTACGTATGTTGTATACCCATAATCAGTGTTGGGTTTATACTACGTCACCTTTTTCTTTTTTTATGCGTGTGGGTATTATATGAACATAAAGAAATCACCCTAAATAGAGAAAAATATACTACGTAGAAAAATTATCAAAATAGGAGTTCCATATTTTTATTTCAAAATAGAAGTTTGCATTGTAATAATGTGATATAGTGTAGATTAACATTTCACAATACTATTTGATATTATATAATGACTTAACTGACATTGTAACTCTTATTTTTGAGAATAAAAATATGGAACTCCTAAATTCATTATGTTTTCTATGTTTTTACACCTTGTTTAGTGTTTTTCCAATAAACATATGCAAAAAATCCTATAAAAACTAGCAAACATACACAAAGTACTCCACATACACGAGCAAGCCTGGGAGTATTGTAGATTTTTAGACTTGATCAAAATGCAAGGTATGCCGAATTTTGAGCTGGCTTGAGTATCAAGCCTAATAATGGAAACACAAACCCAACATACACGACAACCCTCATGCTTCGGGTTGGCTCGACTTGCATTAATAATACTTCGTATTTTTTTAAATAGTTAAAAAAAGAAAATTTTATTAAAACAAATAAAAGCAATGTCTTAATATATTAAATGGTAAATGCAAAACTTATGAAAAATATAATACACTATCAAATGAACTACATATATATGCAATGTGTTTTTGGTGATCTTGATATTTAAAAAATAAATATGAATGCGCAATGAATAAAAATATATTCATTGGATTAAATAAAGTTTTAATGCTCTCTTTTTATCATTAAAATTAGAAGAATATAAGTGTCACTATTACATATTAGGGCTTTAGCATCAACTATTTTAGACTTTTTACATTAGTTTTGTACCGATGCAAATACTAGTCAAGCAATTGCATCGGTTGTACAATAATTCGTGCAATTAGTCTTTGTTTTGCGCTAAAAAGGCTTTGGCTTTGGTTCTTCTCGAATAAGGAAAAACTTTTTTTGTTTAATTACAAAAATAAATAGGCTTTGGCGTTGGTTATTTTTGAAGAACCGATGCCAAATATATGTTCTTTTTTTAAATTAGGGGGGTGGCATCGGTTCTTATAAAATATAGTTGATGCCAAAGCCTTTTTTAATTAAAATAAAAAGATTTGGGAATCGGTTATTTGCATCGGTTATTCTAAATAACTGGTGCTAATACCCATTTTTATTTTTCGAAATTTAAAAAATATCAATGACATCAGTTCTTTGCATTAACCGACGTTGTTGAATGCATCGGTTGTTTCAATAACTGATGTAATTGAGGAAGTAATTTTTTATCCTTTTTTATTAGTGTGTGTTTATATAAAATGGAGGTGATTGATTTTAAGTCACCGACTATGAATGCACAAAGATCAATACTAAGGAAAATGACTATTCTCGAAATATATTATCTCTCATTCTTAGAATAGCTTGACCTTTACATGAGGTTTGATTTTTTATTTATATTCTGTATAAGACATTATACTTAATTAGTAACCGCTTGTCATCACTACAAGAAAACGTGAAAAAGATGACGGAAAATGGCAATGCATTGCATTTTGACGCTAATAACGACAGAAACAGTGACGGAATGTACTCGCCTACAAGTTTTAACGATAGATTTATAGGTTCATTGTTAAGTATACGCGGGAAGTAGTGCGAGCCCCATATAACGATGGAAACAAAGACGAATCGTTTTGTCGTCATCCTGATTTGACACCACAATCGCGGTGACTGTCATCAATTTCAGCTGCAGAGTCATTCTCCACTATCGGCTAGATCTCCTAACTAATTGTCTCTCGCCCACGTGTCCATGCCCAAGGCGCAAGCCCACTCCCTAGAGGGTAGCATATTGTAGATAACTCCATCAAATAGAACCCCTCTCGGCCGAAAGCCCATGAACACAAGAGGCATTCAATTAAAAGAGCATGTTAGCCCTATTCCATAATCCCACAAAATCGATACATCCATCATGAATAATAAGTATTATTTTTTTATTATAATTAAGGCAGAGATCTTTTGATATTGGTTGTCAATTCCATAATATGAAATAAGGCACGTACTTATGATGCATTATTCATAAAATTAATGATTTTTCCCCCCTTAACTCACTAGTCACCCATGCCCCCAACATCTTGCTACCCATAATCGATTTTTAGTGCATGTTTGATACAAAAAAAGAATGAAGGAAGGGCTTCGAGTGCCTTCAAACTCCAATTAGGTTTTAGGGTTTGATTATTATTCTATAAAGAGTGAGTGAAGTACATCCTCTATTTATAGGTTGGAGAGAAACCTCAATCCTACTAAAACTAGGTTTTCTATCCTGACGGTTCAAAGAAAAGCGACGAGGTAAAGAACAGGGGCGGACCCACATAGGATCATACGGGGTCAAGTGACCCCACGGAAATTTTAAATTTTTTTAGTATATATATATATAATTTTTTTAATATATACCTCGATTTAGTATATATGCCACGAAACGCAATATGCATTCACTTCCCGGCGCTGAAGGAGTGGAAATCTCCGTGGTTTTGATTCGTGTGGGCGGATCTGCGGACCTGTGTTCGAATCCGGATGGTGGTGGCTGACTATAAATTTTTTTTTAAAAGAAGAATGACATCAAAACGGCGTCGTTTGTTTTATTTTTTTTTCTTCCGATTTTTGCTTAAAGCAGTTCGACACTGCGACGCCTCCTCTTCTGCACTTCTGCACCAGTCCAGACCCAATTGCAAAATTCAAATTCGGAACTTGAGGCTGACCATCCCTTTGCCGACGGGCGACGGCAGACTCCAAAGCTCCGTCGACGCCCGACCGCCGCTGCCCGCTTGGAAGTTCGAACGGACGACGGCGACGAGGACCCACCAATTACTCGAAAACCAGGTTTTTTCTCTTAAATCTAATTATCTAAATTAGATATTTCTTTTTTTATTTGTAAATTGTGAAAATTTTAATTAATTTTTATAAATTTGTTATTTTGAATAGAAAAATAGATGATTGAATTCATTTATTTATTTTGTAAGATTTTGATTTATGAATATGTTAATATAATTAGGTATTTAGGTTAAGTACTTATTTTTTTAAGGTTATAATATTTTTAATTATTTAGCCATGAAGTTTGTGAAGAATGAGGTTCGAAACAAAATTTGTGACCAATGATTAAATGATTGTGTAGTGACATATATTGAAAGAGATGTCTTTGCTATTATTAGCAATGATAAAATAATAAATCATTTTCATAACATGAAAACTAGACGTTATCATTTGTAAGATTTATTTCACATTTGCAATGTAGAACTACTTTGAATTAGTATTTTCAATAATATATATGAACTTTAATGTTATGTATTGTAGAATATTGTTCATTTATTGTTAGAAGCGTGATTGTTGGATATAAATTTTATAAATTACGAGTTTACGACCCCATGGTATAAATGTTCTGGGTCCGCCCCTGGTAAAGAACCGTAAAGAAACCCTCGAATGAGCTTATAATTCCGCTCTCTAAAGAAAAATCTATTACGCGTAAATATAAAGGGATAAATAAATAATGTATAATTAGGTCTCACTTTAGAACATAGTCTCCATGCCATCCTGGAGCTTTCCTCGTGTGTTGCCATCTTCTTTGGCCGAGTCCCCCATTTTCCAAAACCCTAACCCATTTGGATTTTTCCTTGCTAATACTCCGTCCCCCAATCTGGTCCTCACCTGGCTCACTCGTATCATTCCCCTCCGCTTGAGATACCACCTTGTCCTCAAGGTGTCGTGTTGGGAAATGACGTAGAATTCTGTCGTACGGCTCCCACGTGGGATCACCACATCCCCCATCAGACCAATCCACGAGATATTGGTTCTCTGGCCTTCCTCGCACCAACACATGTCGAGTGGCAGGTATGCGCACAAGCTCGGACAGCGGCTGCCCATGCACAAACTCTTTCGGTAAAGCAATCTGGTCCCGGTTTGGTGAGCTCCCATAGTACGGCCGCAACATAGATACATGAAAGACTGGGTGAATCCTTGAGCCCTCCAGTAACTTCAGCCGATATGTTGTCTCCCCGATGTCTTCCAAAACTCAGAAGGGCCCATATATAGAACCTCTTAGCAAGCTTCTGCAACCTCAGTCGGACAACGAAGTGTTGTCAGTACGGCTATAATTTTAACAACACCAAGTCCCCTTCGTTGAACCTTAAATCCCATCGATGTCGGTTGGCAGCCAAGACCATCCGTTGCTGTGTTTACTTCAACTTTTCACATAGTCTCCGTAAGAGAGATTCCCTTTCGTGTAGAAAATGATCAACCTCTGGTACCTTGTTTTCCCCTTGGCGGTAGGGTAAGAAGGTTGGCGGTGGTCTACCATATAGGGCTTCAAATAGGGTTATTTGCAGACCCGCGTGTACACTGGTGTTAAGAGCGTATTCCTCCCATGGATGTAAGACAGTCCATCGTGTGGGTTTGTCTTGAGTGAACGCCCGTAAGCATTGCTCCACCGCTTGATTCATCACTTCCATTTGGCCATCCGTTTGGGGATGGAAAGCTGTGCTCATGGTCAAATTTGTTCCACTGGTCTTTAACGTCTCCCGCCATAAGTTGCTGAGGAACACTCGATCCCGATCCGACACAATTGTTTTTATGAACCCGTGAAGTTTAACCACGATGTCAATGAAGAGGTGTGCCGCCCAGTGTGCGTCAAATCCTGTAGGCATCACTACCAAATGTACTACTTTTGTTAGCCAATCCACCACCACCATGATTACGGTGAAGCCTCAAGACGGTGGTAAACCCACGATGAAATCCATTGATATGTCCTCCCAAACCTGATTCGGTACTGGCAGCGGCTTCAATAACCCTGCTGGCGGCTGTGTTG